ACCGATTTCGAGCCGTTCAGGTACTTGAAAAATTTACCAAAAACAAACGACCGAGCACACATGTAGCAACCTGCTCTCGCCGAGCGCGCTTCCGGGCACGTACCCCAAGCCGACGCTCAACCTTCTCGAAGACGTGAGCCACCTGCCCTTCTCGAGCGGCACGACCGGGCCGCCCAAAGGCGTCAAGCTCTCGTTTTGGAACATGACGGTCAACCCGCTCCAGGCGTCGTACGCCGAGCGCATGGGGCCGCACGCGCTCGCGATGCTGCCCTACTACCACATTTACGGCGGCATGCTCCTCAACATGTTCCTCTTCCAAGGCGTCGCGCAAGTCGTTTTGCCCAAGTTTGAGCCGCACACGTTTCTTGCCGCCATGCAGCGCTACAAGGTCGGCACTTGCTCTCGAGCGACATCTCATGCGATGCATGTAGATTGAGAAGGCGCACATTGTGCCGCCGATCGCAGCCTTCCTCGCCAAGCACCCGCTCGTGGACGAGTACGACCTCTCGGCGACGAAGGCTCTCATCTCAGGTGCGGCGCCCATGGGCCAAGAGCTCCAGGACGCCATCACCGACCGGCTTGGCCTCACGATGAAGCAAGCGTACGGCATGACCGAGCTCTCGCCGGTCGTCAACTACTCGATGGACGACAACGTCAAGCCGGTACATTTGGTTTTGAAATGCAAGGGTTAGGGTTCTACACCGAATGCGATTAGGGCTCGAGCGGCGTCCTTGTCCACAACACGGAGCTGCGCGTCGTGTGCCCTGAGAAGGGCCACGACCTTGACAAGCACCAAGTCGGCGAGCTCTGGTACCGCGGCCCGCAAGCGATGCTTGGTTACCTCAACAACGACGATGCGACCAAGGTCCGTCGATCTAGACTGATAGATTGATACATAAGACCGTCGTAGGCCACGATGACCGACTGTGGGTTTGTCAAGACGGGTGATTTGGGCTACGTGGACGACGACCACCACGTGTTCATTGTCGACCGCCTCAAAGAACTCATCAAGTACAAGGGCCACCAGGTTGGCACTCGCAATGCGATGACGTAGCATCTTACCTGGCGTAGATTGCGCCGGCCGAGCTCGAAGACGTGATCTTGTCGCATCCGAGTGTCGACGACGTGGGCTGCATCCGCGGGTACAACGCCGACAAGGAAGAAGAGCCACTGGCGTGCGTTGTGCTCAAGCCTGGCCACAGCGTGACGGCTGAAGGTATTACTTCTGGTTGGTTCGGCCATTGAAATTGAGATAGACATCATGGAGTACGCCAACAGCCGCGTCGCACCCTTCAAGAAGGTCCGTCAAGTGCAGTTCATTGACGCGGTGCCCAAGTCTGCGTCCGGCAAGATCCTCCGGCGCGAACTCCAAGCGCGGTTTGCGGCCTGAGCGGCGGTCGTCGTTTCAACAGTGTCCACATCTGTGCGTCCAATATACAGTGCTGTCTCTTTGTCTCTTCTACTCATACTACGACGAGATCGTTTTTAAATGGTGCACAAGTTGTCTGGTACAGTCCAACCTGTCCGTGCTGTCCACGGTCCATACCTCGCCAACGTAACAACGACTACTGACGCGAAAGGCTCAACCACCCGTCACTGACGTGCTTCGCCATCGCTGTTGATTTCAGAGTTCGACCCAAACGATATGGTTGCCCCATGGACGCTGAGCTTCAATTTGGCCCCCATGTGAAGCCCTGTGAAGCAACGACTACCCTCACATGTCATTCTTGATGGGCGCTACAGTGGCCCGCAACTTTACCCGACAGAGATTCACGACCTTTTTGTGCGGGTTATAAAAGATGTTTATAGCCGTTCTGTGCGCTAAACGTGCTATATATCGATAGCCGAGACACAGAGGAACACGAATATAGTTTGATCTTCTTCGTAGCATGTCTAGTCGCTGAGTTATAAAAGCTGGAAGACGGACCATTTAAGGTGGGGAGGGGCCAAAAATGTCCGTTTCCAGAGCCGGTACACCGGGCTACACCAACGCTATCCGTACAAAATCTCTTTAACCGGATAGTATGCCCCGGGCTACGAAAGTGATTCGCATCGCCATTTTTCACCACCGATCCATGGTGCGACCCGGCAGGCAAGCGTTTCATCTGCGCCGCGCCAGGGCAGGTCTTGAGGCCAAGCGCCAAGCGCCTGAGCTAGGCGACGTTGTTGAATTTGACGCCGAGGAGAGCGACAACACCGACGAAGAACACGACAACTGCGCCCACGAGCCTTGCCAACTTGTACTAGGACCGGTACCGGTGCGTGCTTTGATCCACCACTTTGACACCAACTGAGGAATTCCATTAGGAAGCATCGCTCGCGTACAAAGTCGGGACCATCGACTGAGACAGCGACGACGAGGTCGATCTATGGAGCCTACTGGATGCGCGGGGCGATGCTGTTGCAGGGACACCCAAGGGCCGTCTCACGATCCTACGCGAGCGCGAGCTGCTCGGCCCCGCCGAGACGATCCGTGGGCAGTGCAGGAAGACGCCCTGCACGACAGAAGAGCCGTACAATTGCTGTGCGGTCAACTTGCTCGACCATCAACCCGACTTTGCGGCTCAGAAGTCGATGCTTGAGAGGGTCTTTGAAGATAGCGGCCACTTGATGGACCTCCTCCGCAAGTTCCATCCCGAGTTCAACCCAATCGAAAACTATTGGGGAAGTGCCCAGGTCTACTGCTGTCATCACTGCGACTACACGTTCAAGGCCTCCGCGAAACGGTTCCAGCTGCTCTTGCTCAAGTCCCTCTGCAGCATGCTCAGCGCTTCGAGCGGCGTTATCATCGGTACATGCAGGTGTACGCAGCTGGACTTCCACCGCATCTCGCAGAGTTCGCCGTCAAGAAGTACAAATCTCACCGCTCCATTCCATCGGAGAATCTCATGGAACGCATGGAATTTGCAGCTAAAAAACGCTAGAAATCAACGTATATGTGCTCTTCTACTCACCGTTGTGTGTCTTTTCAGCCTCAACGGCGTCAAAACGATTCTGGAGAGGATTTTAGGTATTGCAAATTTTCCGACCAAATTTGTCCACTTTGACAAAAATTGTCGGGTCAAGATGCGGGCCACTATAGCATGGCAACCGTTGGCTGGTGCTGCTAGGGATAGGGTACAGGACATCCGCCGCTTGCACTCATCTCCATTCCAAACTTGCGGTCCACTGAAGACGCGGTGTCGGGTCGACAGTAGGGGTCGAGTCCATGTTAATGGTACGACGGCAGTAACAAGACAAAAGTGTATGACGCCAAAACGAACGATCCGAAGACTCGGACTCGTAAGGCGGACAGATGTGACGCCTACGACGCGCGCTCGAGCCGCGCGAGGACGTCTTGCATGCTCGGCCGTTGGGCCGGATCGATCGTCAGCATCCACCTACGCGTGTCACCCATCGTATTCCGTTGCGACAAAGTATGAATGCTGTACGTGATGAGCTCCGTCACGAGCGGCGAGTAGATGGACTGCGACGGAAACTTGACGGCCCCCAGCACGCCGAGGTACGTGACTTCAATGACTTTGACCTGCACACGCTAATGAGATCCAAAGGTCGTCAAACACAGTCGCGTACGTGGCCAGCGTCCGAGATCGAGCACTCGTACGGCGAGTACCCAAACGCCATGCCGTACAGCAAGCAGCCCATGGCCCAGACTAGTCATCCGCACGACTCGATACAACCACAAGGTCATTGCTTTTGGGTACCGTCCGTGCGGCTCGTCAGCACGGCGCCAGTGGCCACATCGTAGAGCTCTAGCAATGCGCATGTTGCAAGCGGCAAGAAGCATACCGCGTCTACCTGGCGCGCGATAGGCCATCGAGCTACGTGGGTGTTGAGGATGCGATGGTCAATCCATCCTACCTGTGGATCGATGCTGTCTCTTGGGCTTTGAGCGCGTCGCCGCGGGTCGAGATCTTGATGTCGCCTTCGACAACCGAGCCAAAGTCCGTCAACAGCGGCTCCAGATCGTGGTTCAGCAGCACATTTTCCGGCTATACCACGCCAATAAGTCACGAATAAGAGCGTCGACGGACCTTGATGTCGCGATGGACGAGCGGCGGCTGTTGGCTGTGCAGAAACAAGACGGCGGTCGCGACCTTGGCAAAGATATCGAGAAGCGCCCGCTCGGGCATGTAGGTTTGCCGCCTAGCACACACCTGCGCTCACGCGTCTACGAAGGAGGACAAACATACGCGCGGTACGAGTCGATGTACTGTCGCAACGAGCCATTCTACACACGGGATTAAAGCGGTGACCAATGATGCCAACGAGAATGCTACCTCGACAAGCGGAAAGAGGAGGTAGTACGTGCTTTGGTCGGGCAGCGGCGAGTGCGTCACCGTGTAGTCGACGAGCGGCATCAAGTGCTTGTGACGACACTTCTTGTGGACGCTACGCAGAGCTGGAACGTGCACAGGAGGGCGCGGCGCACGTACCCCATCTCGTGCACGACGCCATGGCGCTGCTCGGTCGATTGACACATGACCTTCTTCATCGCGAGCCGCTCCAGCGTCTCCGTGTCGTGGACTTGGTAGACATACGAGAAGCCGCCTTCGGCAATTTCGTGGTCGATCACGACGCTACGCCACGCCATGAGACGCTTCGCTGGCAAGATACGCGGCGTACGATCGACCGCTCTGCATGACGATGGCCGCAGCGGCGCCAGGCAGCTGGAGCCCAAAGCAGCTAAAGAGGCGCGAGGCCACCTGGAGCGGCGCGGCCGTCACGAGCGCGCAGACGGTCTGGCGCGGAGCGATGGGAAAGGCCATGTAGGGGCCGCCGGCGTCTGCCATCTTCTTGTTCGTCGAATCTCCCGTTGCGTCGCGCGCTGATTGGTCGGTCCATGACGGCTTTCGATTTTTAAAAAGCGTTAACAAGCGCTCTTTTTCTATCCGGCACCATTGATATTCATTGGCAGAGGTCCTGTCGTATTGCATACTGGAAGCGGATTGGCGAAAAGACGCAATCAAATCAGGCCAATCCAAAGCGGCGAAAGATCCACTGCGCGATGGACGGCCTCCTCCTCGAGACCGAGGGCGTCATCAAGGACATGGTCGCGTCGGCCAAGCGCCTCGACTGCATGATCCAGACGCTGTACAACGCCGAGCATGCGCTCGATGACGCTGTCGATCTGCACCCAAAAGAAGACGTCGTGCTGCCCGCAGTGGCGCCCACAGACGACGCGGCGGCCTTCTTCGAGGTACGACACCGTGATGTGCATGTACGCGCATCACTCGCTATACTAGGCCATGCACACCGCATTGCAGCAACACGCCGAGGGCCTGCGCTTCCCGGTCGCGCCACTGCTAGCGCCATCGGCGACGACCGACGCCGTCAGCGACAAGGTCGTGTACCGTATGAACGATACGCCACTGCCCAAGACGTCGACGGCGCTCTTCCTCGAGAAGGCCACAGCACTGCTCCACGCCGTCGACTGCACGCTGTCGCCATCGATGGTCGCAACCTATGTCGCGCGTCTCGTCGCACTGGGCCACGACCTCGAACCGTACTGTACGCTGGGCGGAGCCACATGCTTTCCAACGTCGCTGCCCGGGGTCGTGTGGAGAACGGGCATCCTCATCGCGCGCGTATACGTCCTTATGCAAGCTCTCAGCAGGTGGCGATCGCAGACGTAGGTGCGCGCTGAGGTGTCGCTCGCAGATCATGTGTGGGGGTTTCGGCTGCATGTCGGCGTCGAAGGCATCTTGCGCGCCCGCATCGGCACCACGCAAGGCCCTGCGATCCCCGTCTACTTGGAGTGCGACCTCGTCGACCCGCACTATCTAAATACTGGTACAACCCACCGGAGAGATGCAAGTAGTGACTCATACAGAGCCGGGCGTGCGCAACCTGTACATGACGCTACCATACGTCAAGCCCGCACTGCCAGTCGTGCAAGCAACAGCGACGTCCTCTCTGCGCAGCGTCATCGCGTACGCATCCATATCTTTGGCCTGCACATCCACGCTGCGTCTGGTAGGAGCCAACGCCCGACGCCCGATATGGTCAAAGTGACGTGGCAGGCTGACGTGGCAGATGCAAGCTCCCGCGTGCAGCTTTCGTTTGATGCGACCGTACACCCTCGTTATGCCGTATGGAGAAGTACATGGCGTGTGATCTAGCCCTTCCTTCGCGCCCGCATCGTCGAGTCGGCGTGCAGCCATGTCCACGCGGTATGGCTGTGCGAATGAGCTTTGATGCGATCGGCGTTGTAGCTCTTTCGAAGCGACGTGGGCCTTCTCTACTCGATGGGGAAAGGCGCCGACGGTGCGCTCGGCCATGGAGCGTTTACTGACCTGCACCACCCCGCGCCGATCGAGAGCTTTTACGAGCGTACGCACACCCGCCTCGTTTCCTAGCTCATGGCGGCGGTAGAGCCCGAGGCGATAGTTCTTATTGCGCGCATCGCCGCCGCCAGCGACCCGGCGGCCGCGCACGCAGCCCACTCGTTGGCAGTGACGACGACAGGCGCTGTATGGGCGTCGATGCAAGCGCGTTCGTGCGACAGATCGCGTAGGTCTACTCATGGGGCGTCCCCACAGCCTCCGGGACGCTGAGCAAGCAAGGGCACCGTAGCGACCTTCCGACCCGCGTCGTCTCCCTCGACGTACGCGTTTCATCTGACATCTTTTGATCATGACTGTGGTATAGGGTCCGTGTACGCGAGTGGCGGCCGGTGCTGGCTTTAGCCTGGCGCTGACCGAGACAGGACATGTGTTTTCGTGGGGCAAATGGCTCCACGGCCGCCTCGGTACGTGCCATCGATGTGCAGTAGCTCTAGTGTCGCCCTTTGTAGGGCTGGGTCCGACGCCGCCGGCTCTTGGCCGAAAGACGCTTGCAAACAAGCCCATTCTGCAGCAGTATCAGCTGTCGCCGGCACGCGTGACCGACTTGGGAGACGTTGTCGTCACCGAGGTGCGAGTTGGAAGCTGGTTCTATGGTCTGTAGTGTATGGATATACAGATTGCGTGCGGCCAAGCGCACGCGATGGCCATTGCTAGCAGCGGCCAACTCTACGCGTGGGGTCGAAACTTGCATGGTCAACTCGGCCTCGGGCACTGCCACGACCAATGTGTCCCGCAGTCCGTCGCCATCACGGCCGAAGCGTCGTCCGTAGGCCCTCGTACGTTGGACTACCGTTGAATAGCTTGGGGGTAGGGCTACTCGGACGCGGTGGCGCTGGGGGTCACGGCCATCGCGTGCGGCGACATGCTCTCGATCGCCGTCGACGGCCACGGCCACGTGTGGACGTGGGGGGCTGGCACATGCGGCCACCAACTCCCGTCCCTCGTGCGAGAAAACGGTCTGCGGTACGCCTCCGCCGCTGCAACGGGAGGTCACATATATGCGAATTAGGTCGGACCTCGTGGCGTGGCCGTGGTTGTATCCCCAGCGCATGCTCCAGCTGCCGCCGACGATTGTGGACGTGGCGGCCGGCGATCGTCACTACCACGTGCGCACGCACACGGGCGACGTCTACACGTGGCAGTTTGGTAGTTGACCTATCGCATTTGTATCGTTCATACCATGGACTAGAGGCGGCGGTCCCGATGCTCGAGGCCAAGTGGGGCACGATCGAAGCCATCGCAGGCGGTGGCAGGTGCATCGATCCTCGCTGCGGCCCTTCTTTTTAACCTATTTTTTGTAGCGGGTCGGTGCTTGTCTCAGGCCTTTCGTTTCTCGCTCAAGACATGGCGCGACTCTGGCTGCAGTGCAAGCATATGGATGACTCCGGCGACGTCATCTTGCTTGTGTCCGGCCGACGCATCGCCGCCCATCAGCTCGTAGATTGCTCAGTCCCATACCTTTGCGTGACTAAGGGTATCCCAAGGTGCTTGCGACGCGCTGCGACGTCCTGCGCGCGCGCTTGGTCGACGAACGTCAAGCGCGCGAGGCCACAAACCATTGCCTGGAGCTCGTCCTCTACGACTTGCGGTCTGTGGTCGATGCTACCATCCCAAGTGCTAGTGTAAAATGGCGTAGGTACGACGTGTGCCTCGTCGTGCTCGAGTACCTCTACACGGACGCTCTCTTGACGCGTCTGGATCCCGCGTCGTCCCTTCCGCGGGACTTGCTCGCTGCTGCGAGAATGTACGAGCCGTCGATCCAGTGTGATTTCTCCTACAATCGACAACTAGACTCCACTTGCCGCACCTTGAGAGTCTTTGCCAGCCGTACGTGGTCGATGTCGCGCCACGTGCCGTACGCCTCGTGGTCTCGTGCATCGTTGGCTGTGACGATCTCCTTAGGTTATCAGCTCGTATGCGACAGACTTTGTCGGCGCCCTCGGCAGCTTTGTGTGGTCCGACGTCATCTTGGTCGCTGACGGCGAGCGTATCTACGCCCACAAGTGCATCTTGGCGGCTCGAAGCGACTACTTTCGGGGCCTCTTGGCGTCGTCCTTGCGCGACGCAAGCCTCGATGTACATGATCAACACGAGACGTTTTCATAGCGATGGGGGTAGGAGCTGTCGGTGGACGTGCGGTTCGAGACGCTCCGCCGGGTCCTCGACTTTGTCTACTCGGGCGTGTTGCCACCAAGTGCTTCCGATGCAATCCTCTTGGACGACCTCATTGCCGCCGACCGCCTGGGTATCGCACGGCTCAAAGGTACGGCGTTTGTCTTTGGAGTGGAACAGCGAGTTTCGGTAGCGCTGACCGAGGCGCGGCTTGTCGTGACGTTGGCAAACTGCCTTGACGTGCTCGTCACCGCCGACATGGTGACGGCGCCCGTCCTCCGCGAGGTTTCTCCCATCTCTGCGGTCGAATATATATATATTGAATAGGCTGCGGTGATTTTTGTCTTGGAGAACCTTTGCGTGCTGGCGGGTGCGCCGTCGTTTCTGCAGCTCGTGCAAGAGTACCCGACCTTGATGCACGAGATCATCCACCACCCGTCGCGCACAACCGAGCGCTGGGCGTGGCGGGTACCGATCGTTCACTCTGTCTCTTGACGTATCGGGTGTAGGAGTACGAAGGGCTCGTGACGCGCGAGAGTGCCGAGAAGAGCAGCGAATGGAAGGACGATGTCGATTTTCCGCTGCTACCGCTCGTCTTCTTGGCGGCCGTCGCGCTCGCTTATGCCTTTGTCGCTGGTGAACTGCCTCGGGCCGAGACCTACATGCCGCTCTACAACGGCGCGTTGCTGCTTCTCGTCGGCCTTTTTGCCGCCTACAAACTCCAGACGACTTGAGATCCTTGTTGCATCTGTGCACACAACGTCTTTGCTACTAGTACAGTAAATTGTATTGGTTCCATTGGTGTAAGATGGCATCGCTTCGACGGGTTGATGGATAGAAGGCATGCGCTGAGGACGAGCAAGTATCCCTCGGCCCCTCCGTACTCCTACATCCGATTCGTTACTAGATAGATAGATAGATAGATAGATAGATAGATAGATAGATAGATAGATAGATAGATAGATAGATGGTCGATTTGGATTCGTGTTTATCATGGTGTTGGAGTCAGTCTGGGTGGACGCAACTAGGGGTAGGGTACGACGTTCGAAGATTGTGCAACCGTTCGCAGTCGTGGCGACGATGCTCCGGGCCAAGTCGAATGCGTTCATCACCAAGACGCGCAAGGCGATGGTCGCGCCGGGCGACGTCGTGGCGCAGCAGCAAAAGATCCTCGAGGAGGTCGAGATCTTTGCGGCGGTCAAGAGCAACAACATCTCGCGGGCGCTGTCGCAGCTGCGCGCGTGCCCCGACGACTACCACCGCCGCGACACGGTCGGCGCGACGCCATTGCACATTGCGTTCCTGTACCAGCACGTGGAGCTCGGCCAAACGCTCGTGCTCACCGACCTGGCGCGCGCGACCGCCGTGTACGTTCTTCGATGGACAAGGAGGTGGCAACGGTCTGTAGGTACGAAGGCAGCTCGCCCGACGACCCATCTCCGTACCAAGGCGAAAACATCCTGCACATTGCAATCGTCCAGCGCAACTTTGGCTTGATCCAGTGGCTCGCAACTACCGTGCCCGACCTGCTGGTGAACGACACGAGAGGCTTCCGTGTACGACGCGCGTGCGTAGGACGCCGAGACAACCGGCGATTTCTTCGCTCCGAGCAAGCCGTGCTACTTTGGTGGCACGCCCTTGCTCTTTGCTCTCGCGTCGCGGCAGCTCGTCGCGGCCGCTTGCATCCTCGAGGTCGCGCATGCCCAGCCACCCGACTCGAAAGGTATTCGTTGCTCTTTCCACAAATATGACAAGTTGTACATGGTGCTAGCGTACAAGACGACTATTTTTATGGCCGATTCATACGGTAACAATGCTCTCCACCTCGCGGTCGTCCACAACGCGCCCGACGTCTTTGACTTTGCGATCGCGCACGCGATCCGGCGCTTGTGGCAGCCGGACGACGCGCCGTTGCCGACGCTCGCAGTCTTTCTCAAGACGGCGCAAGGCGACATGGCGGATATCTTTGTGCGCTTCTTGCGCCGCCCGAACCACGAAGGCTTGACGCCGCTGGCGCTGGCGGCGGCGCTCGGCCGACGGGAGATGTTTGAGCATATGCTCCGGGCGACGACAACCATCGCGTGGGTCTACGGGCCGATCACGGCCAAGATGCTGCCGCTTCAGGAGCTCGAGGAGAAGTGCTATACGCAGAGCCGCATCAAGACAGCGCTCGAGTGTCTCTGCTCGTCCGCCGACCTCACCGCGTGCATGCCACCCCACTTGCGCCATAAAGTACTCACCGCCCGCCTCAACATGCTCGGGATTTACGAAGTCAAGACGCTTCTCGACAAGAAGTGGAAGTTTGTCGGCCGCCCCATGTTCTTTCGGGCGTGTGTTCGCCACGTGTGCTTTTTGATTTGGATTGCGGTCTCGACGTTGCTCACACCGCACTACCGCGGCAGTGTGATGGCGGCCATGGCTCGCAATGGTGCCCAGACCGTCTGCCACATCATTTTGGAATTCGGGGTCGTCCTCGTCGCGCTCTATGAGTTTGGGATTGAGATCCGACGCCTCGTGGGAGGTGTTCAAGACTACCTCAACGAAACCGGCGCCGCCAAGCTCGACAACATCCTCGGTTTGACCTTTGGCATGGCCATTACATGCGCCATCTTTTGCCGCCTCGCGGGGGCCTTTGAAGTCGAAGACCTCTTTGTCGGGTTTGCCTGCCTCAACCAGTATGTTGTTGCTGATGTTGCTCGTATTTTCGTGGATTTTCGAATTTGTATTGTGTATTTTTCCTGTTTTTTCATATTTTTCATGTTTTTTCGCATTTTTCATGGTTTTCATATTTTCCAACTTGGCTTGCCCTAATCAACGCGTAGGTTCCTCTACATGTTCTTCTTCATGATGGGCTTTCGGTGCACGGGGCCGTTTGTCGTTATGCTCTTGCGCATGCTGACGCAGGTTGACAACTTCCATCTACCCCAACCCTAAGGATATCGTAGGACTTTTTCCGGTTTGCGGCCGTCTACGTGTGGATTCTTCTCGGTGTGAGCATGAATTTATACGTGATCCTCGACGACCGCAACGGCTTTGACCACCTCGTCACGCGCACAAAAGCGCTGCTCCTCGCAGCCTTCTGCAACACGTTCGACTACGCGGTGTACGAAGCGTCGGACCTCTCGTTTGTCGCGCAGTGCCTCATCGTCACGTACCTGGTTGTCGTCGTCATCGTGCTCTTGAACCTTCTCATCGCCATGTACAAACTGTTGGCTGAGCTCAAACCCTCCGAATGAAGTATGCGTAGGATGGGCAACACGTACGACAACATCCTCGAAGCCTCGGAGCAGCGGTGGTACGCCGAGCGCGTCAACATCATGTGCAGCATGGAGCAGACCTTGAACGTCCGCCAAGTGCGCGAGAATCGAAAAAAATACGCGGTCGAGCTGGTCAAAGCCATGGCGATGGAGCCGGCGCCCGTGCGGCCGCGCCGCCAGAGCCTCGTCAAGATACTCGCCGAGCTCAAGCACGCCAAGCATGCGATGGACACGTCGGACGGCGAGCGCTTCCTCCAAGTCGAGCTCGTCTGCAACGACAAGTGGCTCGAAGACGACCCGACGCTGGCACCGGTCCTTGCCGACCCAGCACAAGCCAAGCTGCCGCCCATTCTCGACAACGACGGCGACGACAGCGACGACGAGCCGCAGCGCACCCGGACGGAGCCAACCGAGGCTGAAGACCGGAACGTCCATGTCGCAAAGATGCTTGACGCACTCGAGGCCAGCGTCAACGAGCTCGCGCACGAGCCCACGAAACGAGTCCCGTTGGCGCCGCTCACGCCGCGTCGACAGGCGCAGATCGACCATATTCAAGGCACTTTGGCCGACCTCCGCGCCATGCTTCAGAAAACAACAGCGGCCCACGCTTAAAGCATAGCATGCCTATGCGTGCACTCGACGACGACTGCTTCGGGAGCCATGATGACGCTACTCGTACCTCGCGGGCGCATTCTGTCTTAGCAAAAGAAGGCTCGTTTTGACGCAAAACGACTTTGCCGTTGAGTCCTCAGGGTCGTTGGGTACAGTGGATGTCTCTTCGATCGCTGCTTCACCCAAGCTCTATTCGGCGATGGAGGACTGTGTGGGCTAGTAGTAGGGCCTAATATTTGTGCAGCAGGAAAGGAAGCGCTAGGTCGGACCTCCTTTCCTGTGCTTTCCTGGGGTACGACGAATTGATATTATTTTTGGCGTCCGAGTTTGCTACCAAATACATCTCTCGGATAGCTTTCAAGCCCGACGATTTCATTGAATTCGTCGAGCATTGCCTGAGGCATTTCTTGAAGAATGCAAAGAGTGGTGCTCGGTGTCGTGCTCGCACGAGAGGCTGCCACGTACTACACGTGGTAAAGAGCCAGCGTTGGACAAATTTGGAGTGGTTGATGCACTGCGTTTTGCGAATACCAACGTCGAAGGGTGCTAGAAGTATACATTGGGACATTGTACCGAGAGAAGACTGAACGAAAATCTACAACAACGACTGCAGTCGCTCGTAGGATCCGGGACAAAGATGCATGAAAACTTGATGTCTCGAGGGGCCATCGGTCCAGTCCTCTTGCATACCGACTGCAACATCATCAGGTTGATACTTGCGTTCTCTTCTTTTGGCGCCCCACACGTCGATGACGTCGCGAAGAATGTTCGATGAGATCTTGAAGCCACGTCGTTTGGAGACTGTATCAATGTCCTCGACTGGGTGTCCTTTCCGTCAGCTTGCACACAACCTTTTGTACATACAATTCCCAAGTTGTGTCAGAAGGCAACAAGATCCGGTTCGGGACAACCCGACAACATGGACTGTGCGTTGACGCCGCCTGTTTTTTGTTTTGATCGTGCACAGTACTTGGGGTGATAGGGCCTTGGGTGCATTGGCGCAGCCCCCGGATCGAAGGTGTTGATGCGTCGAGTACAGAGATCCGCGAATTGCAATATGTAATTCGTACCTTCACCGAGCTCGACAGCAACGCCCGTCGCCGCGAGGCGTCGTGCTGTTGCCACGACATCCGGTGCGACCGACGCATGGATCCGGATAAAACATACGTGGCGCCACGTGGTGCAAAAGGCAAAGTCGCGCATCGATTGATGTTGCTGGCTCCTCGTACCCACTTGAGCGATCTTTGGTGCCCCAAGCTATTCATTCTCCATTTTCTCTAGTAAGCACCAGCATGGCCTTCTTGACGGGTGAAGACCTCCGCATTTGCTTTTCTCTCTTCTGCTGCGTCTACGGCATTGGCACGCTCGGCATGCCCGGCAACTATGCGCGCGCCGGGTACCTCTGGGCGACCATCGCGCTCCTCTTCATGGCCAGCGTCAATGTATACGCAACGTGGTGCATCTCCAAGGTCATGCTCGTCGCGCCCAAGCACGTCAAGACGTACGGCGACATTGGTCACTGGTGCATGGGCGGCTTTGGCCGCTGGGCGACCGTGATTTCGCAAATGGCCGTGTGCACGATGGTACCGATTGTGTTTTTGGTGCTTGGCGGCACGCTTCTCACGGTGCTCTTTCCCGACTCGTACTCGGCTGAGACGTGGATCATCGTCATGGGCCTCACCGTCCTTCCGGTCTGCCTCGTCCCGACTATGAAGGAGGGCGCGGGCATGGCGGCGGCCGGCTGCCTCGGCACGATCTTTGCCGACACGGTTGCGCTCTACCTCCTCGTGACCAACATGAACACCAACAACATTGCGAATCTCTCGCCGCCGTCGCCCGCCTTGAGTTTTGACTCGATCACAACAGTCTTTGGCAATTTGGCGCTTGCGTACGGCGCCGGCGTCGTTATCCCAACTCTCCAGCGCGAGCATTCGGACCCGACGCGCATGCCGCGCATCATCGTTGTGACGCTCGTCCTTGTCTCGTGCTGCTTTCTCGCGGTCTCGATCAGCGGTGTCTCGACCGTCGGGTGCCAAATTCCTGGCAACCTCCTCTTTGCTGTCGCGGGCTCGTCGCTCGGCTTCCACGCGTCCCGTGGCGGCGTCATTCTCACGTTCCTCGCCATGCAGATGCACATTACGATCGCGTTCTCGGTGGTCATGTTCCCCGCCTTCTTCATCGCCGAACGGCTCGTGCTCGGGCTTCACAAGGCGCAGTTTGCATTGGCCGAAGCACCCATGAGCGTCGCGGTCGTCGGCGAAAGCTACCGCAACTTGGACCCGAAGGTCGACGGCATGCTCGAGTCCAACGACCACGACGACGGCGCCGACGCGTACAAGGCCCCGGGCGCGTACCGCAAAGCGGCGCTCGTCCGCATCGTCATGATCGTCATCTGCATCGTCGTCGCGATCGCGTTCAAGGACCACTTTGGCGACCTCTTGGACTTCGTCGGCGCGTCGTCAACGGCCATGTGCTGCATGATTTTGCCCATCGCGTTCTACCTCAAGACATTTGGCCCGACGCTCGGCATGCCCGAGAAGGCATTTGCGGTCATTTGCATCCTTGTGTCTCTTGCGCTCTCGATTTACGTGTCCATCAAGACGGGCAAGGCCCTCTTCTCGGGCCACGTTGCGGACCCCAGCATCAAGTTTCCCAGCTGCCCGGCCGAGTACCAAAAGGTCGTGTACACCAACACGACGTACTACGCGACCGCGCACCGCGCCCTCCTCGCGCGCTACACCTAAGATAGCGTCGTTGGGCTCTCTTGACTGTCAATTTGAATCGTGTTTACTGTGTTTAATGTATCGCTTTTGTCCTACAAACCGACGCAGTGGTGGGCACGACTGCGCGTCAACCACACAGCTGCACTCCATCAGTGGCCTCGTGCAGAGAGTCAAGTGGTCGGGAAGATGACAGCGCCCTCCCCGCACCCAACACGCTCGCATAGCAAGTCCCATTGCTGTCCCTGCTATAACGAGACGATGTAACTGCGCCATTGCTTTATATAGGCAACACGCAGGCGCCAAGTAACCTCCGAGACGCGAGTGCACTGCGATGTACGCGCTCCGGGTCCAGACCTCGGACGGGAGCAGCTCCCAGGGCAGCGACAGCTACCAGTCGCTCGTCCTGGACGACGTCGAGAGACCACATCGGACGCCACCGGTGCGCGACCCGCCGCCCGTCGTTTCGCCAGCGTCTCCGTCCGCATCCGCTTCATGGGTCAACAAAATTGGGTCGACCATGTTCAACAAGATCAAAGTCGCACCCACAGACCAACCTCGCACCGAGCGCCCACCGCAGTACGCACTACCGCTGCCCCGCGACGAGCTGAGGATAGCCATCTCACCGTCCAAGCACGACGACCGCGAGGACGCCAAGCCCGTGCTGGCGAAAGCAGGCTCGCTCGGCCAGAGCCTCGATTTTATCAAGGTCTACTGCAGTCCCAAGCGGCAGCCGAGTCCCAAGATCAAGCCCAGTGTCGACATGACCAAGCAGCGCCGACCACCGCGTATGGTATCGACGCCCGTTCTCGGGTTTGACGAGTATGGCCACGACGACGACGACGACGACGACCGTGACGACGTCGTCGACTGCATGCGCCGGCCGTCGCCGAAACGCACGAACGACGTTGTCCCGACGCAGGTGGTCCCAGTCTTGCAGAGCTTTTTCGCACGGCCCAAGGTCAACCCGCGCGCCAAATCCAACTCGATCCAGTCGGTCGACAAGCGCATTCACCGCCAAGAGCAGTACAAGCGCGACCTCAACCGCCACGACGCACTCCGCGCCGCCCATGCTACCCAGCGCCAAGTCGACATGCAACTCGTACGCATTGAGGCGTGGAAGCAGCAAATGCGGTCGCTCAAGCGCCAGCGGCTGCGCGACGTGGAAGACGCCAAGCTCATGCTGGTGCAGCGCCAGGCCCACGAAGCCTCGCTACTTGCGGCCACAAGAGACGCGTGGGAAGCTGCCTTTGAAGACGACGTCGCGCAGCTCAGCGCGGCTTTTGCCAAGATCAAGCGCGGCGACGACCGGCCCATGACGACCGCCGGGTCGGTCATGCACGAAGCCACGTCGATCGTCGAGCGGGACAAGGCGCTCGCGACCAGCGCGCGCGCTCAGACAGCGCCGCTTGGCGACAAGAGCAGTAGCCAAAGCCGGCATCCGCGGTGCCACGTCGTCGACGAAGCCATTTCGGAGCGCAGTCGGCCCAGTAGCAGCAACAAGTCGGAGGAGAGCCTCACCGAACAGCACTCGTGGGTCGAGACGTCACAGGACGTGCTAGAGTTAGCCACAGTCGTCCGAGACAAGGACGACGACGACGACGTCAAGGACGACGAGAGATAGGCAGACGTAGCCGAGTTAGTGTAGTAATAGTACCTTAGCGTTCGCAGTTGCATGCGCACCACCGACTAGCATACTAAGTAGAATCTGGTAGCGACATGGCCGTTTGGGTCTGGTCACTTCCCATCACCAGAATTGTCGTCCGGCCATCAAAAGATTTCTCGCATCTTTGAAGCCAAGACGAGCGAGGTGAGGTCGACGCTCTCTGACCTCCTAGCACTCGTGTTCTCAAGCCCGCAGGCCAGCGCATGCTGCAGGGTAAATGTACTGCATTAGGCAATTCCCGCGCCGGCGCCAAATTTGAAATGACATATCCGGATTCGTGGCCGTTTAAAAAGTAGAGTGATATAATTACATACAAAGTAAAAGATATAATATTCAAAACACCGCAGGACTGTGAGGTATCCGGATAGCGGCAACGTAGCGGCAAGTCAAATTCCATCGCGACAGGCGGCTACGGACTCTGCCATGCCCCGCGGTCGCCCCGAGCCCAGGAAAGACGCGTCTGCCGACCTCCATGTACATGCGCCCATCGCTGCGATAGACGGCTCATGCGACTGCACCTGTAGGAAGACCGCTCGCCCATGACTGACCACAGCGCCGCCGACGACATGTTGCAGCTCGACCTGCTCATCCAGTCGATCGAGCACGTCCTCGACGAGACTCGGGACGTGGACGACGATGTCATGGGCAACCTCCGGTCGCACACGGTACACCATGGCCGCCACTGCACACGATGGAGCATCATGCGTCGTATGTAGCAACACCTCACGGGCTTCCTCGTCGACGCCGACGAAGCGATCGTCGCCCATGCGTTCGCGTTTGTCGAACGCCTGCACGACGCGCTCGGGCCCATCAACTTGGCGCCCATCCTGCTCGACTGGCTGCGTGCGATCGCCTTCTCGGACGATGCGACGACCGAGACTGCGGTGCAAGCGGTCGCGGCCCTCTCGGCCTACAGCATGCATGCGCTCAACGAGTGCTTCGACTCGCTCGTCCAAGGTACCAAATGTCCTCCTCCTCTCCAAGCATGGTGTCTGACATGAGTTTAGCCGAGGCGGCGTCGGCCGATGAGTGGTTTGGCATGGTGCTCTACGAGGTCGCGCGCAGCCCGCACTTGCTCTCGAGTCTCTCGTCGACGCAGTTTATGACGTACATGCAGATTCTGCTCATGCACTTGGCGACGCCGTCGCTCACGGAGAGCATCTCGCTGACCTTCCACGTCGTCTCGGAGAAGCAGCCGGACCAGTTCAACGGGTGGTACCTTGCGTGCGACGAAGACGCGATGAAGCACATGCTGGCGCTCATGCCCGACAGCCGGTCGATGGTCAAGCGCTATGCGCAGCACCGCAAGCAGACGTCATTTACGTCCAGCGTCGCTAGCAGTCTTGGCTCGACCTTGCGCCAGTCGCGGCTGCACGATTCGCGGCGCCTCAGCGACTCGCGAGCGCGGTTGAGCTCGTCGCATTTCCGCAGCACCAAGCCCACCACTGCCGCCAAGGCCAAGACCACCCTCGAAAAGCCCTTCGACTCGAAGAAGCGGGCGCTTGAGCGGATCGGTCGGCCGAGCCTGAACGAGTCGGCGCTGTCGGAGATTTCACCGCTCGACCAGTCGATCAAGGTGCTCTCGCCGCGGCCGACCAAGCCTGCAGCAGGACTGCAGTTTACTACACCAACGCCACCAAAGGCAACGACAAGGGGCCGGCAGCCAGACGAAGAAGCGTCTCCGTTTGACGACGATGACGACGACGCCGAGCCTGCGCTTGCGAGTCCACCACCCTCATCCATGGACGTGACGCTGCTGCTGTATGTGCTCGTGGCGGCCAGCGTCCTCTTTGCCATGTACGGCTTGACGGCCGGCGCGCTCTTGATCTCGCAGGACTTTACCGCGTGGCAGCAGCGCATGGCGCTCAACAAGTACCGCGTCAGCGTCGAGCGCAGCCTCGCCGAAGTCAACCGGGTGGCCGACGTTGTGCACGAATGGCGGCTCGGCGTCACCGACAAGGTAGCCGCCTCGAGCTCTCAGACGGACCACGACCGCGCGCTCTCTATATCGTCCATCTGGAGAGCCATTGACGACGACCTGCACCTGCCTCGGCTGTAGCGCCATCCTTCTTGTTAGCCGAATAGCAGCCTAGTTCTCATCTCGACGCACCAAGTCGGCTAGGCGGTGCGGAGGAGCGGCGTGGTTTCGTGGGCGCCCGCCGGCACGCGGGGCAAGTGCCCGTGGAACGCTAGCATCGCCACGACCGCAATCGCCATGGGCGCCGTGTAGCCAAGGTAAATGGCGCCCTGGAGCCACGAGGGAAGGGGCCGGGGCGGCTGGGCGTCGAGGCGCGTCGTGGATTCTGGCACTAAGCACCGGGTCTGGGCGACTTGAGCAAACCTACAACACTTTTCATTTCAGACGCTTGATCGGGACGCGAGGCCGCACCAGGTGGCCGCCGGACGCGGTATCCGCGCGAGGTCACTGGCGGCAGGGTCGTAGCTCTCCTTCCCGCCCGTTTTGGTCGTGTAGTTGACGTAGAAGAGTCCAAAGCGCGGCTCGAACGAGCCCCACTCGTAGTTGTCGAGGAACGACCACGCCGTGTACCCGATGAGCGGCAGCCCTTCTTGCAGCCCTACAAACACAATGCTATCGCCTCGCGTCGCCAAGGGCAGTGCGCACCTTGCCAGACGCGGTCGAGGTGCGTCTGGAAGTACCAGAGCTGGTCTTGGTTGTCGATGGTGGCATTCCCGCACCAACCGTTCTCGGTCAGTAGAATCGGCGTCGACGTGTTGTGGGCGTGCACCCAGCGCGTTAGCGGCAAATAGCCGTCCGGGTAGCCTAGTACGTCGACGGCATGAGATACAACCGTGCAAGAAGAGTGGAGCCGACCGGAGAACCAGCCGCAGAGCGGCTCGCCTTTGGCGTTGACGCTGCCCGGGCGTGCACCCGGTGGCGCACGAGCATTGTCGACGCCCGCGTCGCGCTGCCACCCTTGCTTGAGCGAGTCACACGTCACGGTGGAGCTAATGGTTGCTACATGTGAAAACGGCAAAGTGGGAAAGGACGTTTGTATACCGAGTCGAGTTGCAGTCGGTCACGACGCTGGACGAGTAGTAGTTGACCATAAAGACGTCGTACGTGCCTTTGAGATGCGCCTTTTCGTCGTCCGAGAAGACGGGAAGGTGGTCGCCAGCATACGCCTTCATCACCTCCGGGTAGTCGCCATGCACGATCGGCGAGAGGAACCAGCCGAGCGAGAATTGCAGCTTGCGCTCCGAGGTGGCCACGTCGTCTGGCGAGGTCGGGTCGAGCGGAAACGGCATGTCCGAGTTGAGCACGATGCCAATCTGCGCAGTCGGGTAAAACTGGTGCCGGCGCGAGTGAAAGAGCCGGACGACCGCGGCGTGCGCGAGCAAGACGTGGTGGGCCGCGAGGTACGACGCCGTGTCCGAGTGGCTTAGCCCCGGCGCATGGTAGCCTTCGCCGTACCCGCCAACGCAGAAGGACCACGGCTCGTTGAAGGTCGTCCAGATGGGCACCTTGGTGCCAAATTCGTCAAACATGAGGTTCGCATACTCCTTGAAGTGCGGCACGACGTCTCGGCTAAGCCAGCCGCCGCTGCCCACGTAGAGCGCCGACGGCAAGTCCCAGTGGTACAAAGTCACGATCGGCGCCATCTTGGCGCGGATGACCGCGTCCAAAAGGCGGTGGTAGAACGCAATGCCCTCGTCGTTGCGGACCATGCGCTTTGTCGCGGCGCTCCACGTCATGACGCGCGACCACGAGATCGAAAGCCGGAACGACGTGAGGCCCATGTCTTGCATGATCTTGATGTCCGATTCGTACCGATGGAGCATGTCGTCGGCGACGTTGGCGCACTGGAGATCATCACGGCTGCGGCAAAAATCGTCCCAGATGCTCGACGTCCGGCCGGTCTCGTTGACGCCGCCTTCGACCTGGTATGCGGCCGTGGCCGTGCCGAGGTAGAAGCCGTCGGGAAAGCACTTGGTCGTCGGCGCCGTCGCCGTCGCGCCGACGAGCGCTAGCAGGAGCAGTGCTGCGACCTTCGCCATCGTTCGTTTGGCAAATGAAGTCAGCCGCGAGACAGCGGTGTGCGATTGGCCAAAAAGGCGCTTCTTCCACCAATCCCCTGCCGTTCCATTTGCGATGCCATCGGATTGGCCAAAACGAAAGCCGTCGGTCCAATGAGAATGCAGCGATAAGATCGCAAATCTAATCGAATCTTGGATGATGCAACAAGTCCTCGAGCTCAGAAGCCGACGAGGCGATGGACGTCACGACTCATCAACTGGAGGAAGAGGAATATCCATGTAGAGAGCGGTGGGATAGAGCCAATATAGTGTACGAAGTACGCTACTTCCACGTTGGCGACTTGGGCGACGGCGGGTAGGGCTGGCCATGTTCCTGGTGGGGCAGCCACCCGTCGGCTTCGACCGCCAATGCCTAATTCGCAGCATATCGAGTTGTCCGAAATGTGTTTCTGAAGGTACATGGTCCTGGCGATGACGCACTCGCTGGAGCAGCGCGAAGAGTCGTTGCTTCTCGTCGGCCGGGGACGTGGGCGGGTCTGCAAGCAGTTCGTCGAATAGGTCATGACGAATCACAACGTACTCTCTTTGATCTAGCAGGCCCACAGATATCATTATCATCCTCTATCGCACAAGTCGTACCTCGGGGACGTAGTCGGCGGTGCCGTTGGCGCGCAGCAGCTGATGGGTTTCAAGCGCCAAGGACAGAAACTCGTTCATCTACGAGCCATATTAGAGCACATATTCACTAACGTACTAGCTACCTCCATGGTCTCGTGCACGCTGCGGGGCATTGGCTGGCCGGCTACGTACTCTTTCATCTTGTTCATAAACTACATGACAACAATGTCCATTTGCCTGTGGACAACAAAAAGCAACCGCGAGGTACGGCGCCCCGAGGCGGGCACCATAGACGTGATGCGCCAGCACAAAGCACTGGGCCTTGGACATCCACACGCTGTCCTTGGCGACACTAGGAGGTCGGTTATCGCGTAGGCCTCTTGATATACAAAGCATCAACTTGAGCTTCGTGCCCAGTGTGTCGCGGGTTGTCATGGCCTATACGAATCCAACACATGAAGGTGGATACTTGGATAGATAAGTATATTGCAAGAGATACTTGGATAGATAAGTATATTGCAAGAGATACTTGGTTTGATAGAAGATAGAACGTACCACCAGCTTCGAGCGCGCGTCGAGGAAGAAACGCAGCGCGTCGTCGTCGTACGTGCCGTCGAGAAAGCTCGAGAAGAGCTCGGCTTCCAAATCCTACGCCATGTAGTGATCTTTATCATCTGCCAGTATACACATTTGATGTATGGCATACGTCGCGGTGGGCGTAGAGGCTGAAGAGCAGCTCGAAAATGTGTTGATGCACGAGCGACGGCAGCCCATACCGCGTCTGAAAGAAGTGCAAAAGGAACGCACAGAACGACGGTTGGTCGACGTCGCCCTGCGGCTCGGCCTCGCGCGCGTCGTAAACCTCATGCAAAAGTTTGATCAGGTTCACATCCGAGAGCGGTTGCTTGGCTGCATCCATCTCGGGCGACGTCTCGAGCTAAGCATGCGGCTCTTTGATTTTTGTGCGATGAAGAAGGATGCATCGAGGAGGGTGTACCATGCTGCACAGCGCGGTGTAGCGCCCTAGGGCCTCCGGCACCGTGACCACGTGGATGTTGCGGAGACGTTCTTGGAGCGACATGTGCTTGGGGAGCGGCGCCACAATCGCCGGCGCGATCGGTCGTTCGAGACGCACGGTCGCGACGAAGAGCCCGTCGGCATTCTTGGCAAACTAGCCATATGTTCGTGTCTTCGGTCGACGAGCGTGGAAGGGTACCTTGACGTTATGGTCAATGATGAACTTGGAGTACTTTCTCTTTTGCTCGGGGCTGAGCTCGCCAAAGACCACGACGTGGCGCGGCGCGTGCTCCATAGCGCACGATCTTGGGGAGTCGTTCGGTTGGAACTTCAACGTGTTTCAAACACACGTTTCAAACACAATGAGCGTCCGCCCCTCACAGCGACGCTAGAGTGCTGCAGGAACGATGCTATCCGAGCACAATATCTTTCTTTGAGGTCGCACTGCCTCGCAAGCTCGAGAGCACACCCGTCGCCAACACGTACGAAGCCCGTTTTTGCACCAGCCGACTGGACGACATCGGTGGTGTTGCAAACAAGTTTTAAAAGCTGTTTTAAACATACGCGGGTCGCTTTGCGTCTTCCGCCTCATAGTCGTCTGCGTCGGAAGCTCCATTTCTGAGCACCGAGGCAAGCAGTCCGAGCAGTCTCTCGTTCTCTCAACGCGATAGTTGGGCTACGTAGTGACCCGTCTGAGAGGCACCAGTCCATCGTCGGCGATGTATCCGGATACATCACGGTATCCGTATACCACGGCCCGCAGTGATTGGCGTCTCGTCCATTCAAACTTGGTGTGGGAGAGATTGTGGCGTTTGTCCCGTTTTGCCCATTTGTCCCGCTACGTTTCCAGTGTGCATTATGTAGGCGCTTTGAAAAGGCGTGGTTTATCCCAGCAACAATTGGGACAAATACTCTTTGCACTTTGCACTTGGCATTCCTCGAAACCTCGAAAATATGAGCAACTCGAACGTGTTCTCCGCGCTCTCCAAGTCGGCCGCCAAGAAGTCGGCGCCGCTCCCGTCGGCCGCGGCCCCGGTGCTGCCCAAGCAGATGTTCTCGCTTCCCGCCGGCGAGGCCACGGCCTCGTGGGGCGATGACGACGAGACGTCGCAGATGACGATCACGTCGCTCACGATGCCGCCGACGCCCGCCGAGCTCGCCGACATGGCCGCCGCCGCCGCCGCCGCGCAGAACGCCGAGGAAGACGACAGCGAAAGCGAGAGCGAGAGCGAAGACGAAGAGGAGACGCCGGTCGTCAAGAAGGTCGTTGTCGCCGCGCCTGTCAAGAAGGCCGAGCCCGTCGTCGTGCTCTCCAAGAAGGAGCAGAAGCAGAAGGAGCTCGAAGACCTCGACTCGGTGCTTGCGGAGCTCGGCCTTGCGCCCGCCGAGGCGCCCAAGGAGGTCGCCGCTGCGGACAAGAAGCCCAAGAAGAAGAAGGGCAAGAAGCCGGCTGGCACGGCTGCCCCGGCCCCGACGCCGGTGGTCGTCGAGGAAGAGGCCCCAGTCGTTGTCGTCGACATCAAGGCCGTGCTCGCCAAGAAGGGCGGCAAGAAGAAGAAGGAGGAGTCGCTCGCTGTCAAGAAGGCGCGGGAAGAGGAAGCGAAGAAGAAGGCGGCGGCCAAGACCAAGAAGGACCGCTCGACGTTCAACGAGTTTTCGTAGATTTGTATGTCTAAATTCTACTTACCTTACCCGTACCCTACGATTTACGTCAAATCGCGGACCCGAGCGACGTCGTCCGAGACGTTGCCCCGGCTCGCCATCGGTGGCTGCCAACTCGCTGATGGCGGCGGAAGCTTTGGCATGCGTGTCGGTGCGTCGCGGGGCCCCCCGCGCTTGATGAGCGACTGGAGCCTGATATTGGTGTTGTCGTCAATGCACTGCCGGTACAGCGACTTGTCGAGGCCGTCCGCGGCGCCTTTCGAGGGCAGTTCGTTGCGGCCAATGCCGATAATGGACGAGTGCTTTGGCCCGCGGAGGCCCTCTACGCAGAAGACGCAAATGCAGCTTTCGCTACGTTGCGACGGACCGTACCGCGGGCAAGGTTGTCGATGCGGTCCTCGTCTTGGCGAATGTTCCTAATGCAAGAAGTCGTCGTAAGCGAGAGCACAAGCAGCGCACCCGTAAAAGCGGTTGGGCGACTCGCGGAGCTGGATCACGCCTTCGTGGAGCAAATGGGTTGTCTGTGTGCCCGCGAGGTACTGCCGTGTCGGCGGCAGCCGCACTTGCTTGGCCGACGTCTGCGCGCCCGTCACAATGTTGTAGTCGTACGACGAGTTTAAGAACGAGAGCCGCCCGTGGCGCTGCGTCGCGTTGGAGCTGTGCGCGCGCTCCTTGGCCGCCTCGCGCTCGAGTCGGTCGTGGTCGGACGCGATCGCTGTCCTTGACCGTCGATAAAAGCCTACGGTCGTCGCCAAGGTCGTCGACGAGACATCACGACGCAAGTACCTGGCGTAAACTTGGTGGTCCGCGTGCTCTGCAGCATCGGGTCGAGGAAGTCGTGGGGCGCGTTGCGCGGGTCCTGGAGGTAGTTCCACGCATTAAACTCGTGGGGCGGGTCGGTCGTCTTCTTCCCGCGAAGGTCGTGGCCGTCGCCTTGGTTGGTGCTCATGGCGTCGGCCGGCTTGGGGCATTGCTTCTTCCCCATTTCGCGGCGACAATGAGATGCTAAGTTTATCTGGCTCACCGGTTTCGAGCCCTACCCCTCGCATCAACCACGACGAGTTTACGAGCCGCAAGGGAATTTGGAGATGGACGACGTGTGAGTATTACGTTGCCGTGTAGTAGACAGGATCGCGCGCTGGACGCTTGATGGTCCGGAGAATAGGAGGATACGACACGATTGGGGGAGACGTTGACGCAGTTGGCGCTTCAAGTCTCAAAGAGACGCCATGCGATCAGAAAAGGCGTCTCCGACGGGCGCGCAGACGTGTCAATAGCACTCCTTTCTCTTCCCACAGTCTACTCTGCTACGAGTCCTACACCACACGGCGATACACGATTACGTTCACTCTTTTCAAATGGGTCGAGTTGGCGTTCAACATAGCAAGACGCAAAGAGCTGCCGCAAAGCAGTGTATCTTCCAAGCTCCTCCTCTTGCACTGGCGACAAGTAGCCATAAGAACGCTGATCACGCAAGCCTCCGCGCGAATAAGAGTTGGGAGCAATGGCATCGGATCGTAGTGTCGTCCTCGTAATGCGCTGTAGAAAGGACGTGCTTTTGCACGGGTTGGCCATTGACACACAATCGTCCTACGCTGGCCAGGAAGAGCGAGCATCGGTACCACGCGCGTCGAGAATCTCGCTGCACGCGGCTCAAACCATTCGTTGCCGTCCTAGTACACTGTATAAACGAGCTCGAACGGCAAAGTGGTGATCGCAAAATGGTGCAGCGCCCCCTCGCCACCACCGCGGCCTACCCCGCTTGCGGCCGGGCAAGCACCCCCATAGAGTCTTCCCGATTCACGCAGGAGTAGATGCACCCAGTACCAGTGTGCGCCAGGATAAATGCCACGACACGTGCGCGTTGCTGCCTACGGTGTCATGTCGTCCCTTGGTGCAACTGTAGTCTGATTGCAAACAAGGAAGTACCCATGTCGTTGCTGTACAATCCTTGAATGTATCACGAGATAGTCCCTTCTCTAAAACGTATATCAATTGCAAAAAAGGAATAGACCGCTGGCGGCGTGCTCAGACGGACCCAGCTGGCAGCGCCGAGGCCCACGGTACGGCCTCTCCGGCTCGCCATACAATCGGCGAGAGGCAAAGCTACTTACGTCGTTACTACGGGCGGCGCCCATTTCTTTATAGCCACACCGGTCGACGCTCTCTCGGTCAGTAGCGCTTCGAACCATGGCCCGCCCCACGGACGCGCCGCTCTTTCGCCCGACGTCGCTCTCGGACGTCGAGGCCCAAATGCTCTGCGACATTGGCAAGAATGCGTTCTCCAAGCTCCTCGAGACCACGCGCTGCCTGCGCGAGCTGCTCATCTCGCAGCCCGACGTCGAGGTACAGGTCCTCCAGCACTCTGTTGCGGCGCTAACGCAGCAACGTACCGTAGCACAACGACCTCAAGAAGCGGTATTTCGCTGCGACGTTCAATCTCATGGGCAACATCGATGAGATTGCCGACTTTTGCGTCAAGGTGTCGTGCGCCGGCGACTCGAGCGCGCACCGTAAGATCGCCGCCGAGCTCTTCTGCCTCGAGGCCACCGCGCGCCTCTACTCGATCGAGTACCCGACGTCCGTCGCGCCGTACCACTACATTGGCATGCGCTGGAGCCACATCAAATCCCCGATGCGCATGCTGCTCCGGGACCGCGATTTCTGCACGATCGAGGTACGTTGCGCGCTTTCCGGTCTTTGTAACCTTAGATGGATAGTACCAAGACGAGTACATTGATGAGAACGGCCAGCGCGGCTACGCCATGTGCAGCCACTCGGTCGAGCACAACGCGTGTCCGCCGCTCGATCTGGGTCAAAACTACGTGCGCTCCAAGCTCTTCCACTCGGGGTACGTCGAGTGTGCTGCATGTTTCTGTGCTGACGCTGCACAGCTATGTCTTTACCGAGACCGACATCCCAAACGTGCTCAAGGTCACACTCTACTTTGACTATGGCCAGCACCAAAAGATGGCGCACTACATGCTCCTTAACACGGTCGCCCGCCACCGGCTCCAGCGCATCGAGCGCATCAACAGCCTCATCGGGTCGCACCAGCCGCGCCACGTGACCTCGTCCATGCACTCGAACGGCGGCTTGAACACGCCGACCAAGTGCGCCATGTGTGACAAGGCGTTCTCGAAAGGCCTCTCTCTCTTCCAGCGCAAGGCGACCTGCTGCATTTGCCACTCGGTAGGCGACTCGCCTCGATTGGCGACCGCTCACACAACTTGTGATTAGGTCGTTTGTCGGAGCTGTTCGTGCGAGTGGGACGTCGACACGGGTCGAGGCTTGCGTCGGGACCGCGTCTGCAAGCACTGCTTCCGCGACATGCACCAGAACGCGCGCCGACTGAATGACTACCGCGATACGATGAGCCACTACACGAACCGGTACAGCCACGGCAACCACAGCGTCGTCGACCTCATCGAGACGCACTCGCAGGTACTTTTGCGCTCCATGGAACATACCACTCATGGGCATCGTCTAGCGCTCGATGCTGTCGCCGGCTCCGTCGGCCAAGTCGTCGACGTCGCGCCTCACGACCGTCGCGTCGTCGATGGCAGCGGCCGCCCAGCAGCACCGCCAGTCGTCAACGCAGCAGTACAACTTTAACCACCGGTTCCAGCCCCCCAAAACATACCAAATCGACGACCCGGTCCGCGACACGCGCACGAACTCGGTCGAGAGCTCGTACTCGGCCTACAGCGCCACGCTCAAGCCCATGGACCGCCGACCGGTCGACCCGCCGCCGCGCGCCTCATCGAACGACTCGAGCCGCTCGACGCTGTCGGAAAACATTGATATTCTTACGTCGTCGAACCGCGCGCCGGTGATCTGGCCAACGTACAATGTGCCGGTCGCCGTGGCGATCGCGGTGCCAGCACCCGAGGCGCTCCTGCCCCGGGAATCCATGGGCAGCCTCTGCGACCTCTCGTACCTGAACCATATTCTGACCGTGAACAATGATGACACGCAGTCGTCACCGGGCTCGACCACGTCGAGTGCCGCGTCGCGTGTCTCGACGGCGTCGCGGCGCCACGGCCACCGCCGCCCGAGCAACCGCTCGAATGCGTCGTCCAACAAATCGGACCTCTCGTATCTGTCAACGTACAACTCGTCCAATTATTAAATAGAGCTAGTTTATGTGTGTGCGTTCTGGACCGCTCGTTGTTGCATTCGCTTGTGTGAGTACATTCCGCATTGACGATATGCAATGTAGCGCATCGCCGAAAGCGCATCTCTGTTCATGGACATTGTGATATGTGCAGCACAAAGAGGCTTTGCGTTGGACGCATCCGGTGGGCACACCTGCCGTTGCCTGCACCGGCACGGTACTTGGATACGGCAATTCAAGAGCAACATCTGGTGAACCTGTGCCTTCGTGGCTCGCTGTCCACACGATGTTGCGTACGTTGATTAAAAAGTCAACAACGAGATAGGGTATTGGAGTCAAAAACGGCAGCTGTATTCCAGGCCCTACCCTCGCACCAAGCCAATAGCGTCGGCGTCGATAGGACGAGCCATCGCTAGCGGTTGCTCTGCCTCAACGTTCTTCTTGCAGCAGCCCACTTTGTTTGCCCTTGCATCCCTCGACAGGATGCAACCATCATGTGCATAGAGAGTCGGTAGCGCCAGACACGCCCACGCTCTCAACAGCGGTAAACCCATGCAGCCATTAAAAATTGGAGATGCTTCCTCAATCTCAGAGGCCATGCCGAGACAAGCAGGATAAACACTGACGCCCGTCCCTTGCCGTCAGCGTCGTGGCAGGCTCGCCACATAAACAAGCTGTGATACCAGTTGCGATCTTACCCCACCGTTACCGTAATAACGTCAGCCTCGCCGAAGGGCGCGACTAAGATCTTAGCAACTCGTCCTTCTCGTTGTCACTGTTGTCGCGTGCACTGGTCTCAGCTTGCAAGCTCTGTCCTCCACCGCAGCCTTCCGGTCGAAAATCGACGGTCGCCAGTCGTCGTGGTCGTCGTCGCGCCAAAAGACACGCAACACGGAAGATCGGACACGGCGTTCAACGTCCCATGTATTATTATATCTAGGTTTTTGTATGTTCGCGCTCAATTTTAATTGATATGCGGCGGCAGCGTAAAACCTGCAACCAGCCGATTGGCTCGTTTGGATGCGTCCTGCGCTGTGATTGGTCCGCACCCGTTGGTAATGGCCGTCGGCCTTTCCTCGCACTTTACAGGACACTGCTGTGGCTCTGCATCCGGACGAGTCGGCGCACTTTACGGAGCCGATGGCCCGGGACCGTGTTTTTGCGATCTTTTGCGCGCCTTTTTGCAGCCAAGTCGAGGCAAGAAGGGCGTCAGTTGACATTTTACCATGGGCAAAGGAGGCAACGCATCGACGGCTCTCGCGCGGTCGCCACCGACGGACTTCACGTGGGACACGAGCGACGAGCCGCATGCGACGCGCCGGAAGCTCATCACCGCCAAGTACCCGCAGATCAAGAAGCTCTTTGGCCCGTGCCCCAAGTTGAAGTACCAGATTCTATGCGCCGTCGCCGGCCAAGTCGGCATGGCGTGGTTCATCCACGACAAGTCGTGGGCGATGTACGTCGTCGCCGCCTACGTCTTTGGCGGTACCATCAACCACATGCTCATGATGGGCATGCACGAGCTCTCGCACAACCTCGCGTTCAAGACGATGCTGTACAACCGGGTGCTCTCGCTTGTCGCCAACTTTCCGCTCGGTGTGCCGGCCGCGATCGCATTCAAGCGGTACCACTCGGAGCACCACCGGTACCAGGGCGAGGACGGCGTCGACGTCGACATCCCGACCGAAGCTGAGGGCAAGTTTTTCAACAGTCGCTTCCGCAAGTTCCTCTTCATTTGCTGCCAAGGCCTCTTTTACAGCTTCCGTCCGTTCTTTGTCAACCCGAAAGCCCCGTGTCTCTGGGAGTACATCAACTACGCGTCGTGCATCGCCTTCAACAGCACGATGGTGCACCTCTTTGGCTGGTCAGGCATGGGCTACTTCCTCCTCAGCACGCTTCTCGGCATGGGCCCGCACCCGTGCGCCGGCCATTTCATCTCGGAGCACTA